CGCCCCCTCCCACCCCTGACCTCATCGGGGTGCAGCGAGGCGAAGGAGTCCAGGGTGGTGTCGGAGGAGACGGACAGCGAGTGGAAGCGGCGCAGGGCGGGCTGCGGGGAGGGCGAGGCTGAGCCGAGACCCCCGGCCAGGACGGGGCTGGCAGGGACCGGGACCCCCGGAGCAGCCCCCAGCCCCCGCGCCCCTCACCCCGGCCGGTTCCCTGCAGCCAGGACGGGGCTGGCAGGGACCGGGACCCCCAGAGCAGCCCCCCAGCCCCTCACCCCGGCCGGTTCCCCCAGCCAGGATGGGTCTGGCAGGGACCGGGACCCCCGGAGCAGCCCCCCAGCCCCCGCGCCCCTCACCCCGGCCGGTTCCCTGCAGCCAGGATGGGTCTGGCAGGGACCGGGACCCCCGGAGCAGCCCCCAGCCCCCCAGCCCCTCACCCCGGCCGGTTCCCCCAGCCAGGATGGGTCTGGCAGGGACCGGGACCCCCGGAGCAGCCCCCCAGCCCCCGCGCCCCTCACCCCGGCCGTGCCCGCGCTGCCGGGCCGTGGGGCCGGGCCCTGCCGGTCCAGCGCCCGCCGCATCTCCTCCAGCCGCGCCCTCTCGGCCACCAGCGCCGCCACCACGCTGCTGAGCGAGCCGTGCACTGCGGGGGGACACGGTGCGGTCAGGCTGAGCCCCTCACCCCGAACCCGCCCCGGGACCCCGAACCCGCCCTGGCACCCCCGGGACCCCCGGGACCCCGCACCTTTCTGCGCCAGCACCCAGAAGCTGCGCTGCAGCTGGCTGTACTCCGGCGGCACGCTGAAGGGCAGCTGGCTCTGCGGCGCCTCCAGGTAGCGGGACAGGTTGGGCACGGAGCCGTGCAGCCGGCCCACCTGCGGGCACACGGCGCTCAGGGGGCTCTCCCGGGGCTCCGTGCCCGGGCACAGCTCGGGGCGGGGGTCCAGCTCACCCTCACCCTGCCGATGGTGTCGTCCTTGGCAAAGCTCTGCGTGCACCAGATCTTGGTGCTCCTCCGGCCCTTCTTGGGCCTCTCGGTGGCAGCCGAGGGCTGTGAGGGAGAGGAGGGGCTGCAGCCGGACCCTCCCCAGGAAGGGGGGCCCGGGACCCCCCCTCTCACCCGCCCGTCCCTCTCACCTGGCCGCCGGAGATGAGCGGCGCCGAGGGGATGCGGTGCAGGGCCTCCAGGTGCTGCAGCATGCCCGTCAGCTCCTGCAGCTTGGCCTGGCACTCCGACAGCTCTGCCAGGGGCACGGGGGTCAGGGGGGCCCGCGGGGACCCCGCCCGGCCCCGCGGCCCCCGGGGGCCCCGCTCACCGGCCGAGCAGCGCTCCAGCCCCTCGCTGTCCTTCAGCCAGGCGTTCACCTTGTCCCGGGAGCTGGCCGGCGCGGACAGGGCAGGGGCGCTGCCCGAGGGCAGCATCCGCGTCCACTGGCCCTGCAGCGGGCACGGAGGGCATCGATCGCGTCAGGAGCCGCCTGCCCAGGCCCCGCCCGGCGCTGCCACCCCAGCTGTCACCCACCTGCGTGCCGGAGCCCCCCGGGGGACACGGCCCCGGCCGCTCGCCGTGGTGGTGGGAGCACAGGCTGCTCACCCAGCTGGAGAACACCTCCGGGGACTTGATCTGGGGACGGGGCCGGGTTGGAGGGGACAGCGCCCGATGGCCCCAACCCCGTCCCAGCCCAGCTCCGGCCTCCCAGCGGCACCTTGAGGTGATAAATGTTGTCCTCCGTGTCCAGGTCAACCCTCTGCGCCTTCTTGTTGACGGACATGACGGACTGACGGACGTCGATGGCCCCGTGCAGCTTGCCCTTGAGCACCTGGGGGGCCCGGGACGCCTGTCAGGGCACGGAGCCCCCTCCTCAGGGGCGTCCCCAGCCCTGAGCCCCGGGAGGCCGCGTGGGCACAGCCTGGCACACACTCACGTCCTGGCGCGTGGTGGAATATTTCAGGATCCCGTTTTCCAGCACGAAGTACCGCTGGGGACGGAGGGGAAAGGTTTGTTGGGGAGGGGGCGCAGACAGCAGCCCCTAGAGCCAGCCCCCTGCCCAAACCCTGCCGGGATCGCGGCTCCTGGTGCCAGCTGTGCCCGTTACCTTGTGCCAGCCCTTCAGGGGCCATTTCCTCTTCTTGAGCAGGTACCCCTCGTGCCGCTGCGGCCGCTGCCCGGGGCTGCCCCGCGCCTCCTCCACCACCTCCCAGCTCTCCGAGCCCTGCGGGCACAGGGGGCGGCGCGGGGGTCCCTGAGCACCGCGGGCTGCCGCCCACCTTGTCCCCAGGCAGGGACACTCGGTACCCCCAGAGCCCCCCAAATCCCGGCGCGAACCCTCGGACCTGCTGCACGCCGCTGTGCTTGGAGGACACGGTGCTGCTGGAGCGGGACAGGGCCCTTCTCGGGGAGCTCGGCTCCTTCTCGTGGCTGCCCATGGCCGGCGGGCAGAGGGGGCGGCGGGCACCGGGCCGGGCCCCCGCTCCCGTCGGGGCTGCGGAGCCGCTCCGGGCTCGGCCGTCACGGCGGGAGCCGCTGCGGGGAGGGCACGGCCGGTCAGGGCGCTCGGGAACGGCGCCGGCAGCGCCGCCGGGAGCGGGGAGCGCGGGGACGGCGCCGTGCCCGGCCCGCGGGGGGCTCCGCGTGGCAGCGCCGCCGGCACCCAGAAACTTCTGCGGGAGCCGGAGCCTTTGACCCGGCGGCGTCACCGCGGCTGCTGTGCCACCCAGTCCGGGTCCAGAGTCCGGGCCCGCCGCCCCACGGCTGGCGAGCACGGGGCCGGCCTGGCACAGCCCCGGGTGACACCGGTACAAACACCGGGCAGCACGGGGCCAGGCTGGCACAGCCCCGGGTGACACCGGTACACGGGCCGGGCAGCACGGGGCCGGCCTGGCACAGCCCCGGGTGACACCGGTGTATGGACCAGCGGGCACGGGGCCAGGCTGGCACAGCCCCGGGGGTGACACCGGTGCAAGGACCGGCACCGAGCCCTGCAAATCTCGGTGTGGTCGCTCGCCCTCCGGGCACGGCTTTCGCTCCCTTTGCCCTTCGCCATCCCGGGGGGGGAAACTGAGGCACGGGAAGCGTCTCCTGGCCTTGCCACCCCCCCGGCGCCGTCCCTACCGGGGCACCCATGGGTCCCGGCCGCCGCCGTAGGGTGGATCCCGGGATGACCCCGGGACAGCGGCCAAGCCCCGGCGCCGGTGAGCACCGTGCCGGTAACGCGGCACCGTCACCGCCGCACCGATACGGTAACCACGGCACCGGCGGGCAGCCACGCCGCCTCAGATAACCCGGCACCGGTAACGGCGGCTCCGGGGGGAGGCACCGGGGCTCTCCCGGCTCCCTCCCGCGGATCGGTGCGGAGCCCTCGCACCGGAGCGGGGCTGCGCCGGTACCCCCGGCTCTCCATCCCCCGGCGGGGTGCAGCCCGTCCCGGCGTCACACCCCGGGCAGCGGGGCCGGGGGTCGCGGGGGAGCCTCCCCCGGTGCCGGTGCCGGTGCTCACCTGGGCGGGCGGCGGGCGGGCGGCGGGGGCCGGGCGCATCCTGCCCGGCGGCGGCGGCGGCAGGAAGCGGAACACGGAGGGCGGGCCGGAGCCGCTCGGCTCTGCCCCCTGCTCCGTGGAGGACCGGAGCCGCCAGCGCCGGGAGCGGCCAGCGCCGGGAGCGGCCAGCGCCGGGACACCGGGAGCGGCTGGGACACCGGGAACCGCCGGGACACCGGGAGCGGCCGGGACACCGGGAGCCACCGGGACACCGGGAACCGCCGGGACACCGGGAGCGGCCGGGACACCGGGAACCGCCGGGACACCGGGAGCCACCGGGACACCGGGAGTGCCCGCACGGAACCGGGGCAGCTCCAGACCCCAGCCGGGAGCAGCCCCGGGGAAAGGAATGGGGAGAGGCAGCACCGCACGGGGGTCCCGGGGCTGGTCATGCCATGGGGGTCCCAGGGACCACCGACCCACGGGGTCCCGGGGATCACCGACACACGGGGGTCTCAGGATGGATGTCCGAGGGTCTCACGATCATCATCCCGTGCGTGGCTTGGGCATTGCCAACCCACGGGGGTCTCAGGGATCACTGACCCACCGGCACCCCGGGAATCCCCGGCCCACGGGGGTCTCGGGGCTGATTCTCCCATGGAAATCCCGGGAATCACGGCCCCACGGGGGTCCCGGCAATCCCTGACCCACGCGGGTGTCGGGGCCCCAAGGTGCTCCCGGGCCATTCCCACCCTGGCATTTCCCTCTCCCACCCCCAGCTCTGCTCCCCCGGACCCCCAGAGCAGCCCTGGCCTCTCCCCCCACCTCGGGGGGGCAGGACCACCCCCACCCACCCCCCAAAATCACAGACGGGGCCTCGGCATCTCCACACGGACACTTTAATGGGCAGGACAGGGAGCCGGGCTGGGGCAGGGTCACAGCACAGCCCCATCCCCATCCCCATCCCCATCCCCAGGGCACCGGGGGTGCCCAAATCCCCCTGCAGGGTCCATCCCGCTCCTGCTCCTCTGGCTGCTCCCGGAGACCCCCGACCACAGCTGGAATGATCACAGCTGGAACAACCACAGCTGGAATGATCACAGCTGGAATGACCACAGCTGGAATGATCACAACTGCAACGATCACAACTGGAACAACCACAGCTGGAACAATCACAGCTGGAACAACCACAGCTGGAACAACCACAGCTGGAACAACCACAGCTGCAACAATCACAGCTGGAACGCTGCTGGGACGATCCCAAGGGAGCACAGGGGAACGGCCACGACTCCCTGCGGGACTGGGGGCGCACGGGACCCTCAGTGCCAAACCCCCAGCCCCAATTCTCCGTGGAGCTGCAGAGTCCCATGGGGACTGTGTCCATCACCCTCCAATCCGGGGGGCTCCCCGTTTCCCGTGGCCGGGGAAGGAGCCGGTCCCGGTTCCGGTTCCCGGTGTCACTGATTCCCGGTGCCCGTGCCCCGCAGGGAAGGAGCCGGTCCCGGTTCCCGGTTCCGGTTCCCGGTGTCACTGATTCCCGGTGCCCGGGGCAGGCTCGGCGGCCCCGGCCGTGCCCCGCAGCTGCCGCAGGCGCTGCTCCAGGAGCGCGGCGAGGCGCGCGGGTTCGCGCTGCAGCAGGGCGCGGGTCTGCGCGGGCAGCGCCGCCAGCGCCGCCGCCGCCTGGCCCCGGCACACGTCCAGCGGCGGCAGCCGCGCCAGGCCCTCCACGCCCTGCCGGCTCAGGATGGTGCCGTCGATGCAGGCGCCTGGGAAAGGGAGCTGGGCATGGAACCGCAGGGCCCCACGGGGAGGGAACGGCAGGGCCCCACGGGGAGGGAACGGCAGAGCCCCACAGGGAGGGAACGGCAGGGCCCCACAGGGAGGGACTGCAGAGCCCCACGGGGAGGGAACGGCAGGGCCCCACGGGGAGGGACTGCAGAGCCCCACGGGGAGGGACTGCAGAGCCCCACGGGGAGGGACTGTTGGATCCTGCAGGCTGCCCTGCCCTGTCTGCACGGATGCAGCTCTGCCAGGGGCCTCATTCCCAGCCCTGGGCCAGCATTCCCAGTCCTGATGAGCCTCCCAGGCACTGGGTCCCCACTCCCAGCCCCGTGCCCCCCACTCCCAGCCCCATTCCCCCATTTCCAGCCCCATTCCCCCCCTCCCAGCCCCATTCTCCCATTGCCATCCCCGTGCCCCCACTCCCAGCCCCATTTCCCCCATTCCCAGCCCCATTCCCAGCCCCATTCCCCCACTCCCAGCCCCGTGGGGAGCAGGGCAGGCTCTCACCCAGCAGGATGACCTGGGGCACCCCCTTGAGCACTCTCAGCATCTCCCTGGCCCGCGGCTCCGGGCTCACCAGCAGGACGTTCCTGCACACGAACAGCGGCAGCAAATTCCTCAGCTTGGACTGCGCCAGCACCGGCTGGGCCACCTGGGACAGAGCCTGCCATGAGACCTGGGGCCACCGGGACACCCCAGAACCCCCGGGACACCCCCTAAACCCTGGGACAGAGCCTGCCATGAGACCTGGGGCCCCTGGGACACCCCAGAATGCCCAGGATACCCCCCGAGCCCCTGTGATACCTCCAGAGCCCCCCCGAGGCCCAGCCCCACCTCGTTGAGCACGAACTTGACGTGGATGTCGTGGCGGCGCAGGAAGTGCCGCAGCGTGGCCACGTCCTCCTCGGCCATGGTGTTGTACTGGCACACGGCCACCATGCGGCTGGCACGGAGCGTGGCCTCCAGCTGGGCACGCAGCACGCGGGCATAGCCGTCCTCCTGGGGACACCAAATGTGGCTGTGGGACAGGGGACAGCCCCGGTGTCACAGCACCCACGCACAGCCATGGGAAATGGGGACAGGGTGGGACCCCTGGTGCGATCCTGCACCCGGAGGCGCTGGGGGGAGATGGTCCCAAGGATTCTGAGGTGGCGCTGTGGGTTTTGGGGTGTTCCCATGGATCTCAAGGTTTTCTCGTGGATCTCGAGGTGTTCCCACGGATCTCGAGGTGTTCCCACGGATCTTGAGGTGATCCCATAGATCTCGAGGTGATCCCACGGATCTTGAGGTGATCCCATGGATTTTGAGTGGTTGCCATGGATCCTGAGGTGTTCCCATGGATCTCAAGGTGATTCCATGGATCCCAAGGTGTTCCCATGGATTTCAAGGTGTCCCCATGGATTTCAAGGTGTTCCCATGGATCTCGAGGTGCCCCCCCAGCTCTCAAGACCCCACACATGGGGTCTCACCTGTTTCCCAACCCCCATCCCACCCCATGGGGTCACACCTTTCCACCAGCTCCAGCCAGGCTGTGTCCCCCACCCGTGCCTTCTGCCGGTGGAACCCCCCATGGAGCCGTGCCATGCCATGCCGTGCCATGCCGTGCCGTACCTGCTGCTGTTGGGGGCCCGGCCGGGGCAGGCAGCGGGGCGGCAGGGCGGGCCGCGGGGGCAGGTACTCGGTCAGGGCCAGCAGCTTCTGCCGCTGGAAGTGCATGGCCTTCCAGTGCCGCGTCACCGCCTTGGAGCCGTGCCGCAGCAGCTGCAGGGCGGGCAGCCAGCCTGGGGACAGCGCTCAGCATTGTACCGGCACCGGTACCGGCACCGACACCGGCACCGGCACCGGCACCGGGCTGCCCAGGGCTGCCTCAGACCCAGCCCCAGTCCTGGCCCCGGTTCCTGACCGTGCCCCGGACCCGCTCGTGTTCACGGTCTCTGCCCTCTCCCGTTCCCAGTCCCCTTCCCATTCCGAGCCCCTGTCCCACTCCCGTTCCCATCCCAGACCTCCATCCCAGTCCTGTCCCTGTCCCATTCCCATTCCTGTCCCTGTCCCGTTCTCTCTCCCATTCCAATTCTTGTCCCTTCCCACCCCCATTCCCATTCCTGTCCCGCTCCAATCCCCACTCCCGTTTCCATTCCCATTCCAGGCCCCTGTCCCGTCCCAAGTCCATGCCCAGGCCCCTGTCCCAGCGCCGTTCCCGTTCCCGTCTCTCACCCCGCCGCCATCGCGTCCCGCCACCACTGAGCGCCGCCATCTTGGTCGCGCCGGCGCAAGGGCCTGTGGGAATGTGGAGGATCGTCACTTTCGGCGCGCCCGTCTCCATAGCAACGGCGCGACGCGGCCTGGGCGCGGCCTGGTTGCTCGGAGCCCGGACCGGGGGCACTGAACCCCCCAAAGTGAGGGACACTGAGCCCCAAACCCGGGAACCGCTCCCGGTGAGCCCCCCTGGCCCATCCGGGGGTCTCTGAGCCCCAAACCCACAGTGCCCACTCCCGCTGAGCTGCCGTGGCTCCATCTCAGGGGCCTCTAAGAGCCCCCGTCCAGCGGGGCCTGGTCCCGGTGACCCCCAGTCCCATCCCGGAGGTCTCTGAGATCCCCAGACGGGGACTCCTGGTCCCACTGATCCCCGCAGTGCCAGTGCCATAATCCCCTGGGTACAGAGCCCCTCTGCCCACCGTGGGGTCCCACCCCAGCAATCCCCAGTGACATCCCCAACCCACAGGACTGTCACCCTCTGTTCCCTCAGAGCCTGCTCCTCCATCACCCCTGAGAGGGGACAAGGACCCCTGGCCACCCGGCCATGGCTGAGCGAGGGGACGCCCTTTGTGGGGGTGAGTGAGGCACTGGGGGGCTCCTCCCGGCAGGAGGGGCTGCCCCTGCCCTGGACCCCCGCTCCGGGCCCTGGACCCCCGCTCCGGGCCCTGGACCCCCGCCCTGGGCCCTGGACCCCCGCTCCGGGCCCTGGACCCCCGCTCTGGGCCCTGGACCCCCGCTCTGGACCCCCGCTCCGGGCCCTGGACCCCCGCCCTGGGCCCTGGACCCCCACTCTGGGCCCTGGACCCCCGCTCCGGGCCCTGGACCCCCGCTCCGGGCCCTGGACCCCCGCCCTGGGCCCTGGACCCCCGCCCTGGGCCCTGGACCCCCGCTCCGGGCCCTGGACCCCCGCTCTGAATCCCCGCAGCCCCCGAGGAGCCGCAGCCCCCAGGAGTGACCCTCAACGACAGCCTCATCTCCACCCGCACTCGGTGAGGACCCCCAGAGCCCCCCGGGCGGGCAGGGAGGGGGCTCAGGGCACCCCCAAACCCCCCCCGTGCCCCCCACAGCTCCACGGGGCCGCTGCCCACCGGCACCCTGCGCTTGGACCGGGAGAACATCGCCTGCATCGGGAGAACCCGCGGGCAGGAGGGGATCCACAGCCTCTACCTGCAGCAGGTACGGAGTGGGGGGCACAGACCTGATCGTGGGGGCACAGAGACCCCAGTCCTGATTACACAGACACCCCAGTTCTGATCCCACACACACCCCCAATTCTGCTCCTGTTTTCCCTCCCCGATCTCCAGAAGGGAACAGTTTCCCCCCACCCTTGAGGGTTTTGTCCCAGTGTCCCCCCAGTCCCCCCACGCCCGGGGGTCTCTGAGCCTCCCCCCATTCCAACCCCCTGGGACTCCAGCGCTCCCAAAGCCACATGAGGATAACTCAGGGCTCTGAATTTTGGGATGTCTCCATGTCCCCCCCCCCCCCCCCCCCCATCCCTGTGTTGCCCCCAGGATTGGTTGGAGCAATCCCAGAGCGTTCCCAAAATGTGAATTTTCAGTCAGCATGCAAAACAAAAAAAAAAAAAAAAACAAACCCAACAAAACAAAACAAAACAAAACAAAAAATCCCCAAAAAACAAAACTAACAAACAAAAAAAAAAAAAAAACCAAACCAAACCAAAACCAACCGAAGAAACAACACCACCCCATGTTGTTTTGTGTTTTTTCCCTCTATTCTATTTTCCAGAACCGAATTGAGAAGCTGGAGAACCTGGAGTGCTTTCCCAACCTGAGGTACATCAGGAGGGCTGGGGCGGGGGGCCAGGTGTCCCCGGGGGGCTGTGACACCCCCTGCCCGCCCTGGGGGCTGTGACACCCCCTGCCCACCCTCCCGGGGGGCTGTCACACCCCCTGCCCGCCCTGGGGGGGCTGTGACACCCCCTGCCCGCCCTGGGGGGGCTGTCACACCCCCTGCCCACCCTCCCGGGGGGCTGTGACACCCCCTGCCCGCCCTGGGGGGGCTGTGACACCCCCTGCCCACCCCGGGGGGGCTGTGACACCCCCTGCCCGCCCTGGGGGGGCTGTCACACCCCCTGCCCGCCCCGGGGGGCTGTGACACCCCCTGCCCACCCCGGGGGGGCTGTGACACCCCCTGCCCACCCTCCCGGGGGGCTGTCACACCCCCTGCCCGCCCTGGGGGGGCTGTCACACCCCCTGCCCCTCCCGGGCCCCGCAGGTTCCTGTGCCTGGCCGGGAACCGCATCCAGAGGCTGCAGAACCTGCGGGGGCTGCTCCAGCTCGGCCTCCTGGACCTGTCCCACAACCTGATCCAGGTGCTGCACACAGGTGGGCGCAGGGACCCCTGGGGGGGCTGCACCCCCACTGCCGCCCTCCTGCCTCAGTTTCCCTGGCTGTGGGGGCTGCCTCAGGAGTGAGGGGAGCTGGGGGGTTTGGGGTGCAGGGATTTTGGCCCCCAGCTCAGCCCCCCTGTGCTTTCCCTCCATCCTGGGGAGTGCAGTGCTGCTTTAGGGGCTGTCTCAGGAGTGAGGGGAGCTGGGGGTTTTGGGGAGCAGGGATTTTGGCCCCCAGCTCATCCCCTCTGTGCTTTCCCTGCTCTCTCCCGTGCTTTCCCTCTATTCGGGGCTGCCTCAGGAGTGAGGGGAGCTGGGGGTTTTGGGGAGCAGGGATTTTGGCCCCCAGCTCAGCCCCCCTGTGCTTTCCCTGCTCTCTCCTGTGCTTTCCCTCTGTTTGGGGGTTATCTCAGGAGTGAGGGGAGCTGGGGAATTTGGGGTGCAGGGATTTTGGCCCCCAGCTCAGCCCCTGTGCCTTCCCTGCTCTCTCCTGGCAGAGGAGCTGCCCCGCAGCCTGCGCATCCTGGACCTGGCAGGGAACCAGTGCACCCAGCAGGAGGGGTACAGGTGGGGAAGAACAGCCCCCCAAAAGCTGGGAGAGCCTCGGGGTGACCTGACTGTGGCCTTTCAGTACCTGCTGGAGGGCTGGGAAAGGGGTTCTGGACAAAAGGGGAACGGGTTCACATTGCCAGAGGGGATTGGGGAAGGAATCCCTGGGTGGGATGGGATTCCCAGAGGAGCTGCGGGTGCCCCTGGGTCCCTGGCAGTGCCCCAGGACGGTTTGGAAGGTGGGATGTGTCACTGGATGGAACTGGAGGGGATTTAAGGTCTCTTTCCACTCAAACCACTCCATGAAATATCAAACACAGCGTGGCCCTCCAAGCCCCAGGGATTGAATCCCTGCTCAAAGCCCAGGGATTGAATCTGTGCTCAAACCCAGGGATTGAATCCCTGCTCAAACCCAGGGATTGAATCTGTGCTCAAACCCAGGGATTGAATCCCTGCTCAAACCCAGGGATTGAATCTGTGCTCAAACCCAGGGATTGAATCCCTGCTCTCCAAACCCCAGGGATCTGAACCCCTGTTCTCCAAAGCCCAGGGATGTGAATCCCTGCTCAAACCCCAGGGATCTGACTCTCTCCTCTGCAAACCCCAGGGATCTGACTCTCTCCTCTGCAAACCCCAGGGATCTGACTCTCTCCTCTCCCCGCTCAGCTCTGGGGGGCTGAGGGAGGACGGGACCCCCACTCCCAGTCCCACAGCTGCAGGAAATTCGGCTTTTCCTCCCATTTCCCCCCAGGGCCGGGGTGCTGGCAGCGCTGCCCCAGCTCCTGCAGCTGGACTCCCAGCCCGTGCGGGCGAGCACGGCCGAGGAGGAGGAGGGAGGAGGAGGAGGCTCCTGCAGCAGCGAGGATGAGGATGAGGATGAGGATGAGGAGCTGCTGGCGGCGCTCAGGGCTCCCTTCACGGTGGACAGAGGTGCCCGGGGGGGTCAGGGCACGCGGCTCGGTGCCGGGGCCGGCAGTGCAGCTCTGCTGGAGCCGCCGTCCCTCCGGGCAGGGTTCCTGGGGGATCTGCGCCGGGAGCTGGCGGGGCGGGCGCGGCGGCGGCGGGCGCTGAGCCTGGAGGAGCACCGGGCGCGCCTGGAGGAGCTGCGGGAGCTGCTGGGCCCGGGGCGGGGCGGGACAGCCCCGCCGGGTCCCCAGCGCCGTCCCCAGGGCCGCCCCGGGGCTCCGCGGGCACCCAGCGGCTCCAGCCCGCCCCCGGGCCAGGCTCTGCAGAGAGAGACCCGAGCCGGAGGAGCGGGAAATGGGCTGCAGGCACCCCAGACACCCTGAACACCCCGCAGCAGCAGCAGCAGCAGGGAATAAAGAGTTTATCCACATCCCAGTCCGGCCTGGTGCCACCCTGAGGGGTCAGAAATGGGGGACCCGTCCAGAGGAGCGGGAAATGGGCTGCAGGTATCCCAAACACCCCACAGCAGCAGCAGCAGCAGGGAATAAAGAGTTTATCCACATCCCAGTCCGGCCTGGTGCATTCTGAGGGGTCAGAAATGGGGGACCCGTCCAGAGGAGCAGGAGATGGGCTGCAGGCACCCCAAACACCCTGAACACCCTGCAGCAATCAGGAATAAAGAGTTTATCCACATCCCAGTCCGGCCTGGTGCCACCCTGAGGGGCTGGAAATCGGGAAAGCACACACAGTGGGGTGGGCAGGACCCCCAATCCCATCCCATATCCCATATCCCAATCCTTCCCCTTGCACCCCATTCCAGCCTGGTGCCACCCTGAGGGGCTGGAAATCGGGAAAGCACACATGGGGTGGGCAGGACCCCCAATCCCATATTCCACATCCCACATCCCATACCCCACCTCCCATACCCCACATCCCATATCCCACATCCCATATCCCAGCCTTTCCCCTCACACCCCATTCCAGCCTGAGCTCACTGCTCCAGGGCAAACCTTGGGCTGGGACCCAGCAAGAGTCAGGGCTGGACTCTGGGAATGATTTGGGATTCCCCGTCCATGACAAACACCGTGGGGCACCCGGGCCCACCCACCTGTGGGGCTCAGGTGTAGAACTTCATCTCGGCCTCCACGCAGTCCAGGAAGAGGTCGGCCAGCTCCTGGGGGCTGGGGCTGACGGTGCCCTGCAGCAGCTCCCGCATGCCCTGCAGGCCCTGCTGCTCCAGCTCCTGCAGCGTGCCCAGCAGCCGCCGGCCCCGCTCCTGCAGGGACCAGGCACGGGTCAGGGGGTCCGGAATGGGATCAGGGAGATCAGGGCTTGATCCCATTGCAGGGAGGGGTCAGGGAGATCAGGGCTTGATCCCATTGCAGGGAGGGGTCAGGGCTTGATCCCATTGCAGGGAGGGGTCAGGGAGATCAGGGCTTGATCCCATTGCAGGGAGGGGTCAGGGAGATCAGAGGATCCAGAATGGGATCAGAGAGATCAGAGCTTGATCCAATCCAGGGTGGGGCCAGAGAGATCAGGGAGTCTGGTCCAATTCTGAATGGGATCAGGGGTCAGGGAGCTCAGAGCTTGATCCCATTGCAGGATGGGGCCAGAGAGATCAGGGTTTGATCCCATTGCAAGGTGGGGAAGGGTCTGCAAGATCTATGGGATCTGTGGGGTCTGTGGGATCTGCAGGGTCTGTAGGATCCGTGGGGTGTTTGGGATCTGTGGGGTCTGCAGGGTCTGTCAGGTCTCTGAGCTCTGCGGGGTCTGCGGGGCCTGTGGGGTCTGCAGGGTCTGTAGGATCCACGGGGTCTTTGGGATCTGTGGGCTCTGTGAGCTCTGTGGGATCCACGGGCTCTGTGGGATCCGCGGGGCGTGCGGGGTCTGTGGGATCCGCAGGGTCCAGGGGCTCTGTGGGATCCGCGGGGTGCGCGGTACCGGGTCGCGCTCCATGAGCTCCAGCGCCGCCTGGTGCCGCCGGTACAGCTCGTGCCGCCGATCCACGGAGCGCCGGAACCGCGGGATCTGCCGGGCGGGGTCCTGCGGGAAGCTCGGGGAGCGCACCTGCGGCGCCGCCCGCACGCCGGCCACGAACACGAAGGGCTTGAACACGGACCTGGGGAGGGCCGCGGGTCACGGAGCGGCTCCGGGGCGGCGCCGCGTCCCGGGCTCACCGGGGCCCCGCTCACCGGGACGGGTCCGGCGTGCCCGTGAGGAAGTGCACGCAGGGCAGCGCGGGGTCGCGGGGCAGCACGGACACCATGCTGCCCGCCGTGCGGAACCCCGCGCCGTCCACGCAGATCCCGCCGGCCTTGTCCCGCAGGATGGACATCAGCGTCTCCTCCGTGATGTGACCTGCGGGCACAGGGACAGCTCAGCGCCGCCAGCCCGGCCCTGGGCAGCGGGGCGGCACCGGGGCGAGGTGTGGGTGGCATTGGGGACGCACTGGGGTGGCTGTGGGTGGCTGTCCCCATGCCAGGCCCTGTCCCCATCCCCGTCCCCACTGAGTGCTGCCACAAGAGCTCCATGCCAGTGTGGAAGCAGCCCTTGGGGAGCCATGGATCAGTATCTCCATCCCTGTCCTGTCACCTTCCGTGTCACCATCTCCATCCTTGTCACCATCCCCATTCCTGTCCCCATCCCTATCCTTGTTCTATTCTTCTTGTCCCCATCCTGTCCCCATCCCTGTCCCTGTCCTGTCCCCCTTCCTGTCTCTATCATGTTCCTATCCCTGTCCTTGTCCTGTTCCCATCCCCATCCCTGTCCTTATCCTGGTCCCAGTCCTGTCCCTGTCCTGTCCCCATTCCATCCCCAACCCCATCCCCAACCCCATCCCCATCCCCGTCCCTGTCCCCGTCTCCATCCCCATCCCATCCCATCCCATCCCATCCCAATCCCTGTCCCCACGCTGTCCCCATCCCCATCCCCGGCCTGCCCCCATCCCTGTCCCCACCCCATCCCCACGTTGTCCCCACGCTGTCCCCATCCCTGTCCCACCTGCGTGCCGCTGCAGCAGCTCCCTGCCCGCTCTCAGCCGTGCCCTGGCAGCCTCCATGCGCGGGGGCTCCTTCTCCAGGGAGAAGGCCCGGGCGAAGCTGAACTCGCCGTGCCCGCTCCACCAGCCCTGGCTGCGCGCCCGCTCCCGCAGCCCCGGGTGCTCCGCCGTGATCTCGCTGCCGATGCTCAGCTGGTTGGAGATGTTGCGGCTGCCCTCTGTGCCGGGGGGGCCCGGGGGTCACTCGGGGGGCTGTGAGACCCCCCCGGTGCCCATGGTGCCCCCCGTGCCCCCATGCCCCCGGTGCCCGCTCACCGCGGATCCGCTGCGCCGCCCAGTAGCGCCCGGCGGTCTCCAGCAGCCAGGCCTCGCTGCGGTCGGCCAGCAGGAAGGTGTTGTGGTACACGAAGGGCTCCGGCTGCTCCTTGCAGCTCCCGCCCTGCCCGTGGCGCTCCAGCAGCGCCGTCATCACCTCCAGGGCCTCCCGCGCCGAGCTGCCCCGCTCCAGACCCAGCCTGCGCCAGCAGGGCCGTCAGACAGAGCCGGGGCTGGGCACGGGGCCGTTCTCACCATCCCCAGCATCCTCACCATGGGGACATGGGGACACGGGGCCGTTCTCACCATCCCCAGCATCCTCACCATGGGGACATGGGGACACGGGGCCGTTCTCACCATCCTCACCATCCTCACCATGGGGACATGGGGACACGGGGCCGTTCTCACCATCCCCAGCATCCTCAGCATCCTCACCATGGGGACATGGGGACACGGGGCCGTTCTCACCATCCTCAGCATCCTCACCATGGGGACATGGGGACACGGGGCCGTTCTCACCATCCTCACCATCCTCACCATGGGGACATGGGGACACGGGGCCGTTCTCACCATCCTCACCATCCCCAGCATCCTCACCATGGGGACATGGGGACACGGGGCCGTTCTCACCATCCCCAGCATCCTCACCATGGGGACATGGGGACACGGGGCCGTTCTCACCATCCCCAGCATCCTCACCATGGGGACATGGGGACACGGGGCCGTTCTCACCATCCCCAGCATCCTCATCATCCTCACCATGGGGACACGGGGCCGTTCTCACCATCCTCAGCATCCTCAGCATCCTCACCATGGGGACATGGGGACACGGGGCCGTTCTCACCATCCCCAGCATCCTCATCATCCTCACCATGGGGACATGGGGACACGGGGCCGTTCTCACCATCCTCAGCATCCTCACCATGGGGACATGGGGACACGGGGCCGTTCTCACCATCCTCACCATCCTCAGCATCCTCACCTGACCAGGTCCATGCCCAGCAGCGCCTCGGCCTCGCCCAGCGGCTCGCGGGTCCACACGCCCTCGTTGCCCACGCAGACCCCGCAGTCGTTGGCGCCCATCTCGGCCCCCCAGAGCCAGGCGGGGCGGCTCAGCAGCACGGCGTGGGTGCGCTCGGCCTGCTCGATCTGCACGTACGTGCACTGCGGGGACACGCGGGGACACGGGTGACACTGGCACACTCTGTGCTGTGTGCCTACAGCCGCCCTGGCACACGGGGTGACACCTGGCACCCTCAGCGCCCTGTCCCCGCAGCCGCCCTGGCACACCGAGGCGCTCTGGGGGGACACAGGTGACACCTGGCACACTGAATGTCCTGTCCCCGCAGCCACCCTGGCACACAGATATGACATGGAGGTGACACCTGGCACCGGACGCCCTGTCCCCGCAGCCGCCCTGCCCCTGCACACTGTGGTGACACACTCGGGTGAGCTGGCACCGGACGCCCCGGCCCCGCAGCCCCTTTGGCCCCAGCACGGTCTCACCTGGACCTTGTCCCCGGGCCGGTGGGTGGCGCCGGGGACATAGACGATCTCCTGCACCTCGTCCCGGGGCCGGTCGGCGTTCTTGGCGAAGATGACGGCGGGGAACGCCGTGTGCGGGGGCATGGCCACGAAGCAGTCGCAGGACGAGGGCACCGGGCCGGGCCCCGCCATCCTAAACTGGGTCAGGGCGGGCACCGAGGGCGATGTCAGCCCCCCGTCCCCGCTGTGTCCCCAGGGTCCCTCTGGGGTGGGCATGGAGGGGCTGCCTGAAACCTGGGGGACATCAGGGACCCCATGGCGGGGTGACCTGGGGGCACCCCCGCCCCGGGACCCCGCAGCTCCGCGCCGACCGCGGCCCCGGGAACCGGGACCCCCCAGCACCGACCGCGGACGGGACCCGCTCCCTCCCTCCCTGCCCGCGCCGGTAACCGGGACCCCGCGGGGCCCTCCCGTCCCCACGGACCTGCCGCTGCTTCCGCGCCTCCTCCGCCGCTGCCCGGGCCCGCCCCGGCCCGCCCTGTCCAGCCCCGGCCCGCCCTGTCCAGCCCCGGCCCGCCCTGTCCAGCCCCGGCCGTGCGACGGCGGCGCCCGGTGGCCGGAGGCCGCACGGCGGCAGCGGCGGGGACCGGGACCGGGATGGCACCGGCACCGGGATGGCACCGGCACCGGGACCCGCGTGGGTCGGGAGGGGAATTTCCCAAAAGAACCCGGGGATGGGGGTCCCAAATCTCCTCCCGTGGGGCAGGGACGGCGGACCCGGGTGCGTGCTGGGGGTTCCCGTGGGTCAGAGCCCCCCGTGGGCATCACCCCCGTGGGCAGCACCCGCCCGGCCCGGGGGGCTCAGGATGGGACCCTCAGGGGGGCTCGGGCGGTCCCAGCCCGTGTCACCCCCACACCCCGCGGCTCCCGGGGTCCCCCCGTGCTGGGAAGTCTTGGAGAGCCGAGGCCAGGCTGGGGGACCCCTGAGCCCCTCGGTGGGGATGGTTTGGGGTCGGGATCCCACACCCCTGAGCCCCTTAGAATGAATGATTTGGGGTCGAGATTATGGACCCCTGGGTCGCTCGGTGGGGATGGTTTGGGGTCGGGATTCCAGACCTCCGAGCCCCTTGAAATAAATTATTTGGGGTCAGGATACCGGACCCTCAGGTCCCTTGGCAGGACTGATTTGGGGTCGGGGTGCTGGACCCTTGGGTCCCTTGGTGGGGACAATTTGGGGTCGGGGTTTCAGATCCCTGAGTCCCTCGGCAGGGCTGATTTGGGGTCGGGGTTCTGGACCCCTGAACCATTTGACAGGGCCTATTTGGGGTCGGGGTCTCGGACCCCTGAACCATTTGACAGGGCTGATTTGGGGTCGGGGTCTCGGACCCCTGAACCATTTGACAGGGCCTATTTGGGGTCGGGGTTCTGGACCCCTGAACCATTTGACAGGGCTGATTTGGGGCCGGGGTTCTGGACCCCTGAACCATTTGACAGGGCCTATTTGGGGTCGGGGTCTCGGACCCCTGAACCATTTGACAGGGCTGATTTGGGGTCGGGGTCTCGGACCCCCGCGTCCTCGGGCAGGGACGGAGCCGGAGAGCCGGAGCGTGGAAAACACGCGGCGTTTATTGCAGTACAAAACCCGAACCCCGCAGCCCCGCAGCCTCTTCACGGCACAAACGCTCCCCTGGCCGGGCCGGGGGCTCCATCCCATCCCATCCCATCCCCCGGGGCCGCCCCCAGCCCGGGGCCGCCCCCAGCCCGGGCCCGCCGGTGCCTCCCTGCCCCGGGGGCGGGCGGGGGACGCGGCGGTTCGGGCGCGGGGCCGGGATCCCCACGCCGCAGCAGGCCGGACTGGTTTCCCGGCCGCCGTCCCTCCCCGCCCGGTTTTACAGCCTTCATTGCCCCATCGCGGCAGGCAGAGCCCCGGGGCTGCGGGGGCTGAGCGAACCTGGGGGGCTGAGCGAACCTGGGGGGCTGAGAGCACCTGGGGGGCTGAGCACACCTGGGGGGGATGAGCGAACCTGGGGGGGATGAGCGAACCTGGGGGGATGAGCGAACCTGGGGGGATGAGCGCACCTGGGGGGCTGAGCACACCTGGGGGGGATGAGCGAACCTGGGGGGCTGAGCGAACCTGGGGGGCTGAGCACACCTGGGGGGCTGAGCACACCTGGGGGGGCTGAGCGAACCTGGGGGGCTGAGCGAACCTGGGGGGGCTGAGCAAACCTGGGGGGCTGAGCGAACCTGGGGGGGATGAGCGAACCTGGGGGGCTGAGAGCACCTGGGGGGGCTGAGAGCACCTGGTGGGGATGAGCAAACCTGGGGGGGCTGAGCGAACCTGGGGGGGCTGAGCGAACCTGGGGGGCTGAGCGAACCTGGGGGGATGAGCGAACCTGGGGGGCTGAGCACACCTGGGGGGGCTGAGCGAACCTGGGGGGCTGAGCGAACCTGGGGGGGCTGAGCAAACCTGGGGGGATGAGCGAACCTGGGGGGGCTGAGCAAACCTGGGGGGCTGAGCGAACCTGGGGGGATGAGCGAACCTGGGGGGGCTGAGCGAACCTGGGGGGCTGAGCGAACCTGGGGGGCTGAGCACACCTGGGGGGATGAGCGAACCTGGGGGGTGGGGGCACAGCTCACCTGGGGCGCTGAGCTCACCTGGTCCCCCCTCGCAGCCCGCCAGGCTGGATCAGCTCGCTGAGGCTGAACCCCGAGTCCCTGCCCGTGGGGTGCAGCCCCCCCCAATCTGGAGCCCCCCCAGGCGCTGCTGGAGCCGCCAGGGTCCCCTCGGTGCCGCTCTGAGGGACACTGGGAGGGTCCTGAGCCCCCCCCGGGGTCCCTTTGGGAGGCGAGATCCCACCTGGGGGACCCCGAGGGGGGATTTTGTGCTGGAAAAGGCAAATTCCGGAGTCGGGGACAGCCCAGGGCACCCGGGGGGGACAGCGGCGGCCGGGCTGGGGCTGGGGGCGCGTCCCGAGACCCCTCCCCAGCGAGACTTCACCTCGTGCTGGGGGTCCCAGCCGCGGGGCCCGGGGGGGCTGCGCCAGCCCCTTGGCACCGCTGGGGACGGGGACAGCGAGGGGACAGCCATGGGGACAGCCATGGGGACAGCGAGGGGACAGCCATGGGGACAGCCATGGGGACCCTCGGAGGGGCCCGAGCCCTCCCCATCCATCCTCAGCCCACGGCCACAGCTCCGGCCGGGGACATCCACTCTGCCCGAGCGGCAAAGCCTGGCTTCACCTTAATAAAATAATAATAATTAATAATTAATAATATTAATAATAATTAATAATTAATAATAATAATAATAATAATAATAAAACACTCAAAACCGAAGGCCTCGGGGCGCCCTCTGGGCACGGACCCCACTTGACTTCACCTCTACCCCTTCCCCCCCCCCCCGACCTCGGGGTGCTCCGAGCCCGGGCAGCCCCCCCAGAACCGCAGGAGGGGCCGGACCGGGGCCCGGCGCCCCCCAAATCCCCCCTCCCCAGATTCCCAACTGGTTCCCACTGCTGCTGGCCGGGGGGCAGAGCCGGGGGGACCCCCGGGTGCCCTGAGCAGCCAGCGAACCCCGATCCCCCCCAAACCCCCTCCCAGGCCCCGCTCCAGCTTCTCCTTCTGCGTCCGAGGGCTTCTGCCAAAACCGGGGCGTAAGACCCCAAAAGATCCAAAAACCGAGAATCGCGGACCCCCAGCCAGGGGTGAGGGACAGGGGGCGACCCCAGGGCAGGGAAACTACGGGGTCCCTGGTGGGGGGAGGCCGGAGGTCCCCGGGAGGGAAGGGGCAGCTCAGGGGTCCCCGGGGGGACGGGCAGCATGCAGGGGCCAGGCAGAACTCCCTGGAAATGCGGGGTCCCGGGGGGACGGCTACGGGGCCACGGGGACAGGCAGCATGCACGGGGGGACACGGGGTGCCGAGGGGACCGGGGGGACACGGGGGTGGCTGCGGACCCCAGGGGGGCACGGGGGTGGCTGCGGACCCCAGGGGGGCACGGGGGGCGCGGGCAGCCGGCCCGGGCGGGGGTGCCCGGCCGCAGGGAGGGGCGGGGGTCGCGGGCGCGCAGCGCGGCCGTGCCGGGCCGGAGGAATGCGGCCGCCCCGGCTCTCCCGGGCCCGCGGCCGCCCCGGTGCTTCCCGCCCGGGGCCGCGCCGGGCGGGTGGGCGTGGGAACGCTGCAGGTGCGCGCTGGGGCCGCCGCCCGCCCGCCCGCCCGCCGCGGCCCCCGCAGCCCCCCGAGCTCCCCGCGGCCGCGCTCGCGCAGCAATTCCTGCTTTGCTTCCCTTTTTCTCCACTTCAGCCGCGGTTCGGGCCGAAAATGGGTTTCGCACCCTCGAGCCGCGCAAGCAAAGCGGGGCTCCGAGGGTGGGGGACCCCCGCCGGCTCAGCGGCCCCAGCCGGGGCGGGGGGATGTCCCCGAGCCCCCCGTGTCGCTCGTGGGCGACGGGAGAGCGGGGCCGGCCCGGGTGGGAGCCGCAGCTCGGAGGGGAGCGAGGGGAGGGCCCGGGGGGCTGCGGCCGCGGCCCCGAGCGGAGGCTCCCGGGCTCCTCCTCTGCTCTCCTGTCTCCCTTTCTCCTTCTCCTTCCTCCCCTCTGGGCTGGACGTGCCCGGGCAGCTCCCGCTCCTTCGGCTCCCATTGATGTTCCTCCCAAACAGCCGCGCCGCCTGCCAGCGGCCTCCCGAGAGAAAGATTCGGGAAGCCGGGGGAGGAGGGAGGGAGGGAGCAGCGGGGCGGGAGAGCGGCAGCGGGACAAGTGAAACCGCCGCGGGGCAGCTCCGGTGCGGCGCTCCCCGCGCCGGGGCCGTCCCGGGGCTCGCCGGCACAAGGAGCCAGCCCTGCGCCCGTGCCCGCCCCGGCCCCTCCGGAGAGCGGCCCCGAGGGCTCCCGAGGGCTCCCCCGGGCCCGGGGCTCAGCCGCTCAGTTTGTGGGGGCGGCCGCGCCCCCCTCGGGCTCCCTCTTGCCCCCCTTGGCGGCCGCCGCGTCCCCGGCGCCTTTGCCCTCGGGCTCGGGCCCGTCCTTGCCGCCGTCGTGCGTCTTCATGTGCTTGCTCAGGTGGTCGCCGCGCATGAAGACGCGGCCGCAGACGGGGCAGGAGAATTTCTTGGCGCCCGTGTGGGTCTGGAGGTGCCGCTGCAGCTCGTCGGAGCGGGTGAAGCGCTTGCCGCAGAAGAGCCAGTTGCACACGAAGGGCCGGTCGCCGCTGTGCCAGCGCAGGTGCGCCTTCAGGTGCGAGGTCTTGGCGTAGGCCTTGCCGCAGCCCGGGATGTGGCAGTTGTGCAGGTGCTTGCGCTTGGCGCCCTCGGGGCCCGGGCCGCCCCTCTCGGCCTCCTGGCAGTTGGGGCAGCGGCACGCCGCCTGCCCCCCGCCGCGGGGCACGGCCCGCCGGCCGCCCTTGGGCCGCGCCCCGGCCTCGCCCTCCGCGCCGCGCGGCTCCGGGGGCCCCTCGAGCGCCTGGGCGGGCTCGGCGGGCAGCAGGTGCGGCGCGGGCGGCGGCAGCAGGTGCGCGGGGGGCGCGCACAGCTGGTGCTCGGCCGCGCCGTAGCCGCCGAGCGCCGCGGGCAGCGCGGGGGGCGCGGGCACGGCCAGCCCCGCGCCCTGCCCCGGCGGCAGCTCCATCCAGCCGGGCCCGGCGTGCAGCTCCCACCAGTTGACGCCGCCGCCCTCCTCGCCGGGCGCTCCGGGGTGCGGGGGCCGGAACCAGGGCTCGTAGGGGTGCGCCATGTCCGGGGCGGCCGGCAGCAGCTTGGCGTAGGCCGCGGGCGCGGCGGGGCCCTCGGGGGGCAGCTCTAACCTCGGCGGCCCATGGGGCTCGTAGGCGGCGGCGGCGGCGGCGAACGCGGCGTCCTCGGGCCCCGGCAGCGGCAGCTCGGGCGGCGGCAGCGGCGAGGCGAAGTCGGGGGCGCCCGGGGCGGCGGGGCCGTGTGGCGGGAAGGGCTGCAGCGGCTGCAGCTCCAGGTGCGTCGGGGAGGCGCGGGGCGCGTCCGAGGGCTGCGATCCCAGGGAGCCGCAGACCGCCGTCAGCATCGCGGGGCGGCGCGCACGGACCTGCGGGGCCGAGCGGGGCCCGGGGAGGGGAGAGGAGCCGTGAGAGGAGTGGGGGGCGCAGCTCCGCGCCCCCCGTCCCCGCCCGCACCGGCACCGCGGCTCGGGAGTCGCCGAGCCCCCAGCCAGGGCTTGCGCCGCTCTGCGACACCGCCGTGGCACCGGGATGGTGGCACCGGCTTGGGGGGGGCACCCTCACACCGTCCCCGCCCCCTGTGCCAGCCCCCGGTGCCGCTCGGTCACGTCTGCAGCCCGGAGGGGTCGGTGCCTGACTCCAAACTGCGAGGGAACCTCCAACGCTGCTGGATCGCCTCCCCAGCTGTGTCCCCAACACCGCCCGGGTCCCCAAGGGGGCCAGGGTGGCACCCCCAGACCCACGGAGGGGACCCCGCACCCCGAGGCCAGCCTGTCGGTGCCGCATCGCAGCCGGGCCGGGCTGGGGCAGCCTCGCCCCCCTCGCTGCCGCCCCACGCCGGGCCCAGCCCGGAGCCCTCGGGCCCTTCTGGGGGGGCTGCGCCCCCGGGCCGGCCGGCAGCGGGCTGAGGCAGCGCGGCCCCGGGCCCAGCCCCCGGCAGCGCTTTGAAGCCGGGTCGGGCCGGCTCCCCCCGCACCCCGGGGCACCCCCGGGCACCCGCGGAGCCCCGGGCGGCCGCAGCTCCAGCAGGGCGGCCGTGACTCAGCGGGAGCCGCGCAAACCCCACGGGGCCGGGGACGGGCCCCACCCCGGTGTCGAAATCCACCTGCCGCCACCGGCTCCCGCCCCCCGGTTCCCAGCGGCGGCGCCGGGACCCCCCCGGCCCTGAACCCCCTCCCGCCGGCCGCTCTCGCCACCTGCCCCCTGCCCCGGCCACCCCCGGGGACAGGAACGGACCCCTGCGGACAGGGACAGACCCTTTGGGAGACGGACAGACCCCTGGGGACAGGGTCAGACCCCTGGGGACAGGGTCAGACCCTCGGGGACAGGGTCAGACCCTCGGGGACAAGGACAGACTCTTCATGACAGGTCAGACCCCTGGGGACAGGGAAAGACCCTTTGGGAGAGGGACAGACCTCAGGGACAAGGACAGACCCTTGGGGACAGGGTCAGATCCTTGGGGACACGGACAGACCCTTGTGGAAAGGCTCAGACCCTTGGGGACAAGGACAGACCCTCAGGGACAGGGACAGATCCTTGGGGACACATCTGGGGGGTGCTGGAAGATTTGGGCTGGGGGATCCCCCGATCGGACCCCCGGCGCCCCCCGATGCCCACGCTGGGATTCCGGGCTCCCCACAGTGCTGGAGACCCCTCAGCCGCGTGGGGACCCCGTTTTCCCCCGCCAGCGTCACCCGGGCAGGCAGGGGGACCCCAAAGGTCCCGGTGGGAGTTTGGGGGGGTCCCAAAATGCCCCTGAGGGACCCACCTGTACCTGGGCTGCCCACATAGGTGGGGTTCGGCAGGATGAGCCCCCCGGGGCAGCTGAGCAGGTTTTGGGGTCCTGCTGCCCCGGGGGGCTCCGCTGTGCCCGCCGCAGCCCTGGGCACCGTCCCTGGCTCCCGGGGACACGCGTGGGCTCGGAGGGGCTGGCACGGCCGGGCCCATCACCCCCACCCGCACCGTGCTCGGGGGTCCTGAGCCCCCAGACCCTGCTCCCAGTTGGGGTCACACACACAGAGTGCCTCAGTGCCAGCCCCTCACGGGCCTCTGGGACCCCCAGACCTGGGGATGTCCCCCAGCCCCCGCACCCCCACGGGAGGGGAGGGACCCTCCGGGCGCTCCCGCCCCATGGGATCCAGCACGGGGCTCCCCTGGGACACCCCGATCCCAGCGATGCCCCCGGCTCGGGGGTCCCACCGACCCCACCGTGACCGGCGGCACTGACCCCCACCCCAGCCCCAAACCGGGAGAGGGCCGGGACCGGGACGGGGCAGCGCCGGGAGAACCGCCCCGCTCGGGCCGCGCTCGGAGCCTCCCAGGACAATTTTCCACCCGGGAACGATGACAAAAATCCCCAGGGGCCCGCAGCGTCCTCCCTCCCTCCCTGGCGGGGCTCGGCGACGCGCTGGCCATTTCACCGCAGGGAAACTGAGGCAGCGGCGGCTGCAGCGTCCCGTGAGTCACGGCCCGGGCTGGGCACGGGCGGCGCGGCCCCGTCTCCAGCTCGGCCGGTGCCTCGCCCCGCGGCGGGGCCGCTGCCCCGGCACCGGGAGCCCCGACGGGGGGAGCGGGGGCGGCGGCGGGGCGGGCTCGGGGATGCCGCGGCTTTGGGGCGATGCCCGGGGGCCGGGGGGACGCTGTGGGGTGCGGTGGGATCGGGATCATCCCCCCGAGCCGCGGCGGAGCCCCCGGGGGTTTTCGGGAGGGGAACGGCGCCGCTCCGGTGGCGGCGCGGGCGGGCGGGGGGGTCCAGCCTGGGCAGCCCCCGCAGGACTCGGCAACACCGGAGGGGTCTCGGAGGCACCGGAGAGCCGCGTGCCGAGGGGCGGGGGTCGCGCCGGGGATGGGAGCGAGGGGACGGCACGCGGGGCTCGGTGGGCAGCGGGGACCCGCAGGGAGCGGAGCGCTCGGGGCAGCCCCGTGCCCGGGACCGTGCGGGGGCACCGGGGGTACGCACGGCTCTAGCGGGGGCACCGGGGTACGTCCGGCTCTAGCGGGGGCACCGGGGTACGTACGGCTCTAGCGGCGGCGGCGGGGGCCCGGCGGCTCCGTCCTCATGGGCGCGGGCGCTGTTCCCGAGCGGAGCCGAGGGACCCGCGCAGGGACCGGGCACCCACTGGGCCGGGCGAGCAGGAATGGCCGGGTCCCAGCCCGGCTTTCCCTCCGCCCCCCCGCCCGGCTCCACCCCCGGCCCGGTGATTTTAACCCTTGGAGGCAGAGCCGCGGCCCCGGCGCTTGACAGGAGCCGGCTCCGGTCTCAGGATCCGGCGGATGAAAGCGGAGGGAGGGGACGGGAAGTTCGCAGCAGACACCGCAAACAGGGGGGTAATTAAAGAAGAAAGCAACAACCGCCTCCCTCCCTCCTCCCGCGGCCCCGGCCGCCTCCCCCGCCACCCCCGGGGACCCCTCGTGTCCCCACCCCCTCCAGGCGCCCCCTCCCCTGTTGGGGACACGCAGGTGGCCGCCCTGTCCTGCTGCCACCCCCCGGGACCCCCGGACGTGTCCCCCACCAAGGGGTGACACGCGGGGGTGGCACACAGGGGTGGCACACAGGGGTGGCACACGGGGGTGGCACACAGGGGTGGGCGCTGCTCCTGCCCGCGGGGATGTCACCTGTCCCCGTGGGGGGCTCAGCGCCCCCATTGCCCCTCGGTTCTGTGGCACCAGTGGGACGGGGGGGACACAGGGGACAATTGTGGTGTCACCTCTGGCGGGAGGGAGGGGGACGCAGGGCCCACCGTGACCTCGGTGGGTTTGGGGTGACCCAGAAGCGCCCCGGAGGTTCTGGCTGAGCCTGTCCCGGCTCGGCCCGGGTGTCCCAGCCCCGTCTGCCGTGTCCCCCCCGAGGCTCCGGCAGGGACAAACCCCGGTGACAGCACCGCGCCCGCCGGAGCCACTTAATCACCGGCGCGTCGTGTCCCCGTTCCCAGCGCTGCGCCCGCCCGGCGGCCCCGCAGCCCCGGGGACCCCGGTGCGCACGGGGGGGTCCCGGAGCCCCCAATCCCCCGGGAAAAGGCGGCGGCGGGGCCGGGCCGGGCGGGCAGCGCCGCGATCGCGGCCGGCGCGTGGGAGCCCCGGAGAGCCCGGGGAGAGCCCGGAGAGCCCGGGGAGAGCCCGAGGAGAGCCCGCAGAGCCCGGCCCGGCCCGGGGAGGGAGCAGCGAGCTCCGCCCTGGCCCCGGGGAAAGCTCGGCCGGTTTTCATCGCCCCGGCACGGAGCGGCCGCCGCCGCCAATGCCAACGAAACGCGGCTGCCCGGTGCGCTGAGAGCGGCACCGGCGGGGGGACCGGACACCGGGGAGGGGGCAGCGGGGTGGGGACACCGGGGTGGGGATGGGGACACTGGGATGGGGATTGGGACACGGGGATGGGGACAGCGGGATGGGGACACCGGGATGGGAATGGGGACACTGGGATGGGGACCCGGAATGGGAATGGGGACACAGGGGTGGGGACACTGAGATGGGGACCCGGGATGGGGATCTTGGGATGGGGATCCTGCCATGGGGACCCCAGGATGGGAAGGGGCACGACAAGCCCCTTTGGGGTTCCTGGCTGTGGGGGTGAACACACACACGAGGCTCTGTAGGGCACATCTGGGGGGATCGGGGCGCACCCCAACCCCAGGGTCCCACTGTGTTCCATTCCAATCCCAATTCCCATCCCAAGCCCAGTCCCCATCCCCAATTCCCATCCCAATCCCATTTCCCATCCCAATCCCTATCCCAAACCCCATTCCCGTCCCCCATTCCCATCCCAAACCCCATTCCCATTCCCACTCCCATTCCCTTTCCCATCCCCGTCCCCATCCCAGTCCCGGCCATCCCCGCTCCAGGAAGGGGCTGCAGGGTGGGAGGACCTGGGGGACACGAGGGGACACGGACGGGGCTCTGGGGGTGCCAGGACCCCCTCACCCCACAGCACCGCACCCCAAAACCCCCCTGGGACCCTCGGGACCCACCCCAAAACTCAGACCCTGGCTGGGATCCGGCTGGGATGGGTCTGGGGGCAGCAGGAGGCTGTGGCACAGCGCTGGGGGCACCGGGGGCACTGGGGGCAGCAGGGTTTGGGGTCTGGGGGCTCCTGGAGCCCCCCCAGGCAGAGCTGGGACCACCCAGGGCAGGGAATCACGGCGCAGCCCAGGGGGGATCCGAGTGTCTGCAACCCCGAGCCGTGCCTTGAAATTACTGCTAATTACAGCTCATTTGCATAAATTATAAGGCAAGAGGCAAATGCCGCCAATCCCTCCGAGTGATCCGGCAGCGCGGGGGAGAAAAGGGGGCACAGGAGGGGAACAGAGGGGGGACAGGAGGGGTCGGATGGGGACCGGAGGGGTCGGGGCTCCCCAAAACTGCAGCGGGACCTCGGGGTGTCCCCGGAGCCCGGCACGGGGGGGACACGGCCCTCGGTGGGTGACAGGGAGGGGACGGGGCTGGGGTGGCACTGGGGGTGGCGCTGGGGGGTCTCAGGGATGTCACAGGGGGGTCCCAGGGGTGTCCCAGGGATGTCCAAGGGTGTCACACCGTGTCCCCAGCCCGTCCCTGTCCCAGTGTCCCAGGGGTGTCCCTGTGGTGTCACCCCCTAACCGTGTCCCCAGCCCGTCCCTGTGCCTCCCCCGGTCGGTGCCGCTCCTCACTCGGGCTGCCGGGGGGTCTGTCACTCATCCCTGTCCCTGTCACTGTCCCTGTGTCCCCCCCGGTCGGTTCCGCTCCCGCACTCGGGGTGCCGGGGTGGCTCTGTCGCTCATCCCTGTCCCTGTCGCTCATCCCTGTCCCTGTGCCCCCCTTGCCGGGTGCCGTTCCCGGTGCCGTTCCCGGTGCCGTTCCCGGTGCCGCGGGGCCGCGCCGTCTGTGCCGCCCGGTGCCTCGGGGCCGGCCCGGGGGTGCCCGCGGGGCGCAGACGGGCCCGGGCGGAGCTGCCGATCCCGCCCGCGGCTCGGGGGGGCCCAGACGGGCCCGGGGGGGGACGCGGGGGTGGCGCTGGAGCGGCCGAGCCCGGGGGGCGCCGGGACCGTGCAGGGGGCGCGTGGGGACAGTGCCAGGGAGGGACCGAGGGAGGGACGGGAGTGGCACTGGGGGGCACGGCCACCATGGGGGGGCACAGCCCCATGAGGGGGTCACAGTCACTATGGGGGTGTCACAGTCCCCACGGGGGTGTCACAGTCCCCATGGGGGGGTCACAGTCACTATGGGAATGTCACAGTCCCCACGGGGGTGTCACAGTCCCCATGGGGGGGTCACAGTCACTATGGGAATGTCACAGTCCCCACGGGGGTGTCACAGTCCCCATGGGGGGGTCACAGTCTCTATGGGAATGCCACAGTCCCCACGGGGGTGTCACAGTCCCCATGAGGGGCTCACAGTCACTATGGGAATGTCACAGTCCCCACGGGGGTATCACAGTTCCCACGGGGGTGCCCCAACACCCGTCAGGACACCCCCGTGCCCGGCACGGTTGGCACAGTTGACACACCTGGCACAGCTGGCACACCTAGCACAATTGGCGCACCTGGCACGGCTGGCACACCTAGCACAATTGGCGCACCTGGCACGGCTGGCACACCTGGCGCAGCTGGCACACCTGGCACAGTTGGCGCACCTGGTACGGTTGGCACACCTGGCACGGCGCTGCCCCCCCGCTGCCCGAGGCCAGGGCCGCCTGCCAGCCGCGCAGAGATCTCTATCGCGATTATCGCGACGGGCCGGGGTTGCCCTGCCCGCAGCGCGTGCCCGCGGGCGGCGTTTCCTCTGTCGGGACCGGAGCGCCGGGACGGGGCCGGGGCTCGGAGCGGCCCCGAGCGCGAGCAGCTTTAATTGGGCTTTAATTAGCGCCGCGCTAATCGCGCTGCCGGATCCGCGCCCGGCCGGGCCCGCTGCCACACACGGCCCGGGAAACCGGAGCGGAACGGGGGGGACAGCGGGGACAGCGGGACAGGGACAGGGGACAGTGGGGACAGCGGGGACAGCGGGGACAGCGATGGGGACACGGGGAGACAGGGATGGGGACAAGAATGGGCACAGGACAGGGACAGGGATATGGGGATGGGGACAGGGACACGGGGGGACAGCGGGACAGGGATGGGGACAGAGACAGGGACAGGGGACAGGGACACGGGGGGACAACGACAGGGACACTGGGCTGAACTGGGGACATGAGGCGAGCTGGGGACAGGGACAGGGATGGGGACACGGGGGGACAGCAGAGACAGGGATGGGGATAGGCACAGGGGATGGGACAGGGACAGGGACACGTGTCCCCAGCACAGAGACCCAACCCGGTCCCCGCACTGTCCCCGGGCCGGGCCGGGGGTACCGGGGAGGGTTCGGGGCCGGGCCGGGGGTACCCGGAGGGTTCGGGGCCGGGCCGGGGGTACCCGGGAGGGCTCGGGGCGGGGGTCGGTGAGTAAGCGGAGCGGGGCGGGCGGGACGAGGGCGGGGAGGGCGGCGCTGGCCGCGGCTGCTGCCCACAAATGGAGGCCCCGCGGCCACAGACACGGCACAACAAAGCACCGGGCAATTATTTGGCTCCAGCGGGAGCTGCCGGGCCCGTGGGGGCTGGAGCCGGCTGGGCACCCCCGGGAACCCCCGGGCGGCAGCGCCGGCACCGCCGAGGGGACCCCGGCACGGTGAGGGACCCCCAAAATGGGGTGATGGGGTGGTGGGGGTGCCCCCTGCGGGACGCCGAGCACACCCCGGGTTTTGGGAGGGGTTGGGGATCCCCTTCGCTTTTGGGGACCCGAAATTCGGCAAGGGGATTGGGGATCCCTGTCCCTTTTGGGGACTCCAAATTCTGCAGGGGATCGGGGATCCCTGGCCCTTCTGGCAGCCTGAACGCCCCAAAGCTCTCCAAGCACCCCCAAGAACCCCCAAAATTTACAAGGGGATTGAGGACCCCCATCCCTTCTAGCGCCTTGAACACCCCAAAACCCTCAAAGCGCCCTGAACCCCCGAATCCCTGCAATGGGAATGGGGACCCCCATCGTCTCAGGGAACCCCGATCCCCTCCGGGACCCTGAATCCTCCCCCCCCACCCCGATTGTTGTGCGGGGTTGGGGACCCCCATCCCGCTGAGCGGGCACCCCAAGTTCTGCAGGGACCCCCCCGAACCGCGCTGTGCCCCCTCTGAGCGGGGTTTGGGGTCCCTCGGGGGCGCCATCGCCCCGGGCCCCCCGGGTCCCCCCGATCCCCTCCCCGGGACCCCCCGGACCCCCCTCACTGGGACCGCGGGATCCCCTCCGTGCCCGCTTTGATTGGGGGGGGGCGAGGGGGATCCCCGGGACTCCCCACCCGGCGGGGACCCCGTGACGTCATCCGGCTTCGGCTGCCCGGACTCCCCCCTCCGCCAATCGCAAGCGCAGCTCGTCCGTCTCCCGCCTTCCATTGATTCATCAATCTGTCAATCAAATTATTGCGACCAATCACAAGCCGTGTTTTGGGCGGGTCGCGCCCAAGAGGTACTCCGCCCCCTTAAAGGTCTGTCAATCAAACAGCGGATGGCCACTGGCTGGGCTTGCGCCCATTGGCTGTCTGTGCTGTCAATCAGAAATCTTCCCTGCCATTGGTTCTCCGCTGCCGTCCGTCACCTCACAGCTCCGCGCCCATTGGCGGAGCCATCCCTCCATCACGCGCCTTACTGCTCGGCGCAGCTGCCCATCAACCCTTCCCCCTCCGCGGATTGGCCGCCGCTCCACCTTCTCACCACCCATTGGCCAGATCGCAAAGCAGCCGGGCGGCGATTGGCCCAAAGCGCCTCTGTGGGCGGGCGCAGCAGGGCGGTGCCCGGCGGAGGAAGATGGCGCCGTGAGCGGGTCGGAGCCGCCGCCGCCCCCGGCCGGTCAGTGCGGGGGCAGCGGGGCCGGGCCGCGGCCGCTGCGGGGCCGCCGGGGCGGGGAGGGGCCCGCGGCCGCCCCGAGCCGCCCTCCCCCGGCGCCCGGCGGGCGGGCGGCGCTTCCGGCAGCGGGGCCCGGTCGGGGGCGGGCCCGGCCTTTGGGACCCGCCTCCCCCGGGACCGCCCGGAGCGGCGGGGGCGGCCCGGGGGGACCGGGGGAGCTCCCGGGGGGGGAGACTCCGGGGGGGCCCTCGGGGGTCGCGGCCTCATCCCCGCCCGGGGATGCTCGGGAATCCCGAGATGCTCGGGGGACCGGGGATGCTCGGGGGATGCTCGGGGGGTCCCCGGGATGCTCGAGGTACCCGGGAACCAACCAAAGGCCAACCCCTGGTGAGGGGACAAGGTGATGCAATAGGGGGCAGCCCCCCAGTGTGGGGTGGGGTGGCTCTGGGGGGCACCGGGCACATCCCCGAGGAGCTGATGCCCCCCTGCTCTGTGCCCACAGCTCGAGGGACAGCCCAGCATGGCTGCCACTGCTGCTGTCAGCCCCAGCGAGTACCTGCAGCCCGCCAGCGCCAACGCCCAGGTGAGCCCTGCCCCTCTCAGGTGTGCCCAGCCCCTCCCAGGTGTACCCTGCCCCTCCCAGGTGTGCCCAGCCCCTGCCCAGGTGAGCCCAGCCCCTGTCCAGGTGTGCCCTGCCCCTCCCAGGTGAGCCCTGCCCCTGTCCAGGTGAGCCCTGCCCCGCCCAGGTGTGCCCAGCCCCTCCCAGATGTGCCCAGCCCCGCCCAGGTGTACCTTGCCCCGCCCAGGTGTGCCCAGCCCTGCTGGGGGCTCACTCCCTGTCCCCATGCCGGTGTTCTCCCCGAGCCTCTCTGGTGTTCCCAGCCCTCATCTCGGGCTGGCTTTGGGATCTGAGCTGCCTGCGGTGTTCCAGGGGCAAATCCCAGGGAGTTCCCAGGATATCCACAGCTTTGGGATGGTTTTAAGCATTATTTTGAGCTTTAGGATGTCTTTAAGGGTGGTTTTAAGCTTTAGGATGGTTTTAAGCATGGTTTTAAGCTTTAGGATGGTTTTAAGGACGCAAGGATGGGATTTAAAAGGACTTAGGGACACAGGGATGGGATATTCAATGTCACCACCACTGGCAGCAGTGGGTGCTGGACATGGGCAGGAACTCCCTCGCAGAAACGCTGGCGTTGGCATGGACTGCCCAGAGAGGCGCTGGAGCCACCTGGGGGCGTTTCAGGAAGGACTGGACGTGGCCCTCGGTGCCACGCTGGGGTGACAGGGCGTCCCCAGGCCGGGCTGGGCCGTCCCCAAACCCTTTCCGGCCTCGGTGATTCGGGAATCCCGCCCCGCGCGGGTAATTAACGAGCTCCCTCAATCAGGGCTGCCTCATTAGCCGTTCCTGCACTGACCGTCCCCCCTCTCTCCCTGCGCCCCCAGGACTCGCAGCCGTCCCCGCTGGCCCTGCTGGCAGCCACATGCAGCAAGATCGGTCCCCCCGCTGTGGAGGCGGCCGCGGCGCCCCCGCAGCCCCCGCAGCCCGCGCCGCGCAGGCTGGTGCCCATCAAACCCGCCCCGCTGCCCCCGGGCGCCGCCAAGGGCGGCCTCGGCCTCCTGTCCTCCAAGGGCAGCCTCTTCCAGATCCAGGGCTCGCAGCTGGGCGCCTCCTACCCCGCGGGACAGCTGGTGTTCGCCATCCAGAACGCGGCCGTGCTGGGCAAAGCCTCGCGCTCCTCCTCCTCCTCCTCATCCTCATCCTCGTCCTCCTCCTCGTCCGGCATCCAGTACCAGGCGGTGCCGCAGCTGCAGCCCAGCGGCGCTCAGGCCATCCAGGTGCAGCCTAACCAGATCCAGATCATCCCGGGCACCGGCCAGGCCATCCTCACGCCCTCCTCCTCCTCCTCCTCCTCCTCCTCCTCCTCCTCGCACAAGCCCGTGCCCATCAAGCCGGCCCCGGCGCAGAAGGCGGCGGGCGGCGTGGTCAAGCTGCCCGCGGGCGCCAACGTCACCCTGAGCCTGCCCCCGGCCCTGGTGGGCCCCGAGGCGGGCGGGCAGCCCCAGCTGCTCACGGACAGCCCCTCCAAGGGCGGCAAGAAGCCGCGGAAGAAGGCGCCGTCCCCGGGGCAGCCCGCGGCCGTGGCCGTGGCCGAGCAGGTGGAGACGGTGCTGATCGAGACCACGGCCGAGAACATCATCCAGGCGGGCGGCAACCTGCTGATCGTGCAGGGCCCGGCCGCGGGGCAGCCCGCCGTGCTGCAGCAGCTGCAGGTGGTGCAGCCCAAGCAGGAGCCGCAGGTGGTGCAGATCCCGCAGCAGGCGCTGCGCGTGGTGCAGGCGGCCTCGGCCACGCTGCCCACCGTGCCCCAGAAACCCTCGCAGAACTTCCAGATCCAGGCGGCCGAGCCCACCCCCACGCAGGTACGGCCTCCCCGGGACCCCCTCCGCGGTGCTCCACTGGGGTTCTGCCCAGGGCTTGGGAGACGGGGGCTTTGTGAGGTATTCCCGGTTCGGAGGATGGTTTGGGCGTTGCTCAGTGGAGATTAGTGCAGCCATGCCCTCTGGTTCTACCCAGGGTCTGGGAGATGGGGGGTTTGTGAGATATTCCCAGTTTGGGCGTTGCTGAGTGGAGATTAGGAGTGCAGCCGTGCCCTCTGCAGGGATTAGGAACTGCTGTTCCCCTCTGGTTCTGCCCAGGGTTTGGGAGCTGCGGGGTTTGTGAGATATTCCCGGTTTGGAGGATGGTTTGGGCATTGCTCAGTGCAGATTAGGAGTGCAGCCGTGCCCTCTGCAGGGATTAGGAACTGCTGTTCCCCTCTGGTTCTGCCCAGGGTTTGGGAGATGGGGGGTTTGTGAGATATTCCCGGTTTGGAGGATGGTTTGGGCGTTGCTGAGTGGATTCTCTGGAGGTTGGGAGTGCAGCCGTGCCCTCTGCAGGGATTTAGGAGCTCCAGCTTCTTTTGTAGGATATGGAGGAGCTCAGTGTCCCACAGCTGGGGCTGGGATGACCCTCCTGGGTCACAGAGGGAGGTGGGACAGGTTGGTGTCTCTGTGTCACCTTGGACAAAACCCAGGAGCCTTCTCCTTTCTCCAGGGGGTCTTACAAAGGTCTGGATTCACTTCCCAGCGAGGGTGGGGAGGAGCTGGGCTGTATTTCCCAGACAAACTATGGCTTCCCCATCCCCGGCAGTGTCCGAGCCCAGCTCCAGCAGAAGGAAATTCAAACACAGCAGCCCCCAAACCCCCCCAGCCCAAAGCGTCCCGCGATTCCCGAGCCGCGCGGGCCGATCCCGTCCCCACAAACCCCACCGTGCCGCGCTCCCTCCCGCCCCCAGGTTTACTTCAAGACCCCCTCTGGGGAGCTGCAGTCGGTGCTGCTGCAGGAGGCCTCGTCCATCCCGGTGCCGCCGGGCGGTTCCTGCGGCAGCCCCGGCACCGGCACCGGTACCGCCCGCAGGCCGGCCCCGCGCAAGGAGCGGCCGCTGCCCAAGATCGCCCCGGCCGGGGGCATCCTGAGCCTGAGCGCGGCACAGCTGGCGGCAGCTGCACAGGCCATGCAGACCATCAACATCAACGGCGTGCAGGTGCAGGGCGTGCCCGTCACCATCACCAGCAGCGCAGGTGGGTGGCACCGATGGCATGGATGGGGACATGCCATGGATGGGGACATGGGGACATGGGCATGGATGGGGACATGGCAGGTGCAGGGCGTGCCTGTCACCATCACCAGCAGCGCAGGTGGGTGGCACCGATGGCATGGATGGGGACATGCCATGGAATGGGGACATGGGGACATGGCAGGTGCAGGGCGTGCTCGTCACCATCGCCAGCAGCACAGGTGGGTGGCACCGATGGCATGGATGGGGACATGGGGACATGGCAGGGGCAGGGCGTGCCCGTCACCGTCACCAGCAGCGCAGGTGGGTGGCACCGGGGGCACCACTGGGGACATGGGGATGGGACAGGGACAGTGGGCAGCTCCCTGAGCTCCCCCAGGGTGGGTTATCAATGGATCAGATCAGATCAGATCAGATCAAATCAGATCCCTGAGGGGGACAGGGACCCTGGGCAGCTCCCTGAGCTTCCCCAGGAACGAGGAGCTCTCCCGGGCTCCCAAACCCAGGAGAGCACATTCACACACCCAGCTCCGTTTGTCCAGCTCCACTTTCAGGGATCAGCATTCCAGGGGTGACCCCTCACTCAGGGATCATTCCAGGGGTGACCCCCCACTCAGGGACCATTCCAGGGGTGACCCCTCACTCAGGGATCAGCATTCCAGGGAATGAACCCCTCACTCAGGGATCATTCCAGGGAATGAACCCCTCACTCAGGGATCATTCCAGGGGTGACCCCCCACTCAGGGACCATTCCAGGGGTGACCCCTCACTCAGGGATCATTCCAGGGGTGAACCCTCACTCAGGGATCATTCCAGCAGTGACCCCTCACTCAGGGACCATTCCAGGGGTGAACCCCTCACTCAGGGATCATTCTGGGGTGAACCCCTCACTCAGGGATCATTCCAGGGGTGACCCCTCACTCAGGGATCATTCCAGGGGTGAACCCCTCACTCAGGAATCATTCTGGGGTGAACCCCTCACTCAGGGATCATTCCAGGGAATGAACCCCTCACTCAGGGATCATTCCAGGGGTGAACCCCTCACTCAGGAATCATTCTGGGGTGAACCCCTCACTCAGGGATCATTCCAGGGGTGAACCCCTCACTCAGGGATCATTCCAGGGGTGACCCCTCACTCAGGGATCATTCCAGGGAATGAACCCCTCACTCAGGGATCATTCCAGGGGTGAACCCCTCACTCAGGGATCATTCCAGGGAATGAACCCCTCACTCAGGGATCATTCCAGGGGTGAACCCCTCACTCAGGGATCATTCCAGGGGTGACCCCTCACTCAGGGATCATTCCAGGGAATGAACCCCTCACTCAGGGATCATTCCAGGGGTGAACCCCTCACTCAGGGATCATTCCAGGGAATGAACCCCTCACTCAGGGACCATTCCAGGGAATGAACCCCTCACTCAGGGATCATTCCAGGGAATGAACCCCTCACTCAGGGATCATTCCAGGGAATGAACCCCTCACTCAGGGATCATTCCAGGGGTGACCCCTCACTCAGGGATCATTCCAGGGAATGAACCCCTCACTCAGGGATCATTCCAGGGGTGAACCCCTCACTCAGGGATCATTCCAGGGAATGAACCCCTCACTCAGGGATCATTCCAGGGAATGAACCCCTCACTCAGGGATCATTCCAGGGAATGAACCCCTCACTCAGGGATCATTCCAGGGGTGAACCCCTCACTCAGGGATCATTCCAGGGAATGAACCCCTCACTCAGGGATCATTCCAGGGAATGAACCCCTCACTCAGGGATCATTCCAGGGGTGACCCCTCACTCAGGGATCATTCTGGGGTGAACCCCTCACTCAGGGATCATTCCAGGGGTGACCCCTCACTCAGGGATCATTCTGGGGTGAACCCCTCACTCAGGGATCATTCCAGGGAATGAACCCCTCACTCAGGGATCATTCCAAGGAATGAACCCCTCACTCAGGGATCATTCTGGGGTGAACCCCTCACTCAGGGATCATTCCAGGGAATGAACCCCTCACTCAGGGATCATTCCAGGGAATGAACCCCTCACTCAGGGATCATTCCAGGGAATGAACCCCTCACTCAGGGGTCTCCCCAGACCCCAGACCAGCCGGGCACGGCCCAGCTGCTCCCCATCCCAGGAGTGTCACGTCCCTGCAGCCGCCCTGTCCCCACTTTGGCGGGGCCAAGCCCTTGCCCAGAGCCGAGGGCAGGGTGATTTATCTCTGTGGGGAGCTTTATCTGCTCGCTGGGATCAGCCCAGCCCTGCTGCCTGCCTGCTCGGTGCCCCAGCCCTGGCTCTGCTGCTCCTGGCCAGCCGTCAGCAGAAATCCCAGCCCCTTTCCCACTGTGCCGTCCTGCCAGGACCGCCTTTGTGGGGGACACTGAGTTTAATTAGCCATTCCAATTAACGCGCAGGGGACTGGCAGGACCTGCTGCCCTCGAGCCGAGCCAGGGCTCGGCTCATCCGTGCCCAGCGCTGCCTTCCCTCGCTTGGCGCTTCCCCGCCTGCTCTCCCTCCCTCCCTCCCTCCCTCCGTCCCTGCCGCTCTGCTCCTGCCGATCCCCCTCGTTCTTCCCCTTCTCCTCCTCCTCCTCCCGCTCCTGGTGCTGCCCTGGGAGCAGCAATCCCACCCCAATCCCAGCCCCGATCCCAGTCCCAGCCCCGCTTGCTGACGCTGACCCCTGTTCTTCTTTCCAGCCCCTGTCGCGGCACGCCCGAGCCTGGAGCGGCCCTTAGGCTGCGGGGTAAGTCCCGTTTTTTTGCTCAATATATTGCACGTTTTTTCAAAGTTTCTTTTTTTTGTTTCCTCTTTTTGAGCCCATTTTTTTACTCCCCGCCCCACCTAAAAGGGTCGAGAAACGACTTTTTTTTTTTTTTTTTTTTTTTCCCGAAAACTTTGAAAAACCGCACAGTATATTCAGGAAAAAGGGGACTTACCGGCAGAGGCACGTGGCAGAGGGGGCCGTGCTGCATGCGGGGGCGAGCTGGGGGTGCTCCCTGCTCCGGAGGGTGCGGATGGATCCTGACTGCCCCTTTCCCTTTCCCCTTGCCCAGGCCAGCAGCAGCTGACGGTGCAGAACGTGTCCGGCAGCAACGTGACCATCAGCGGGCTGAGCCCCACGCAGATCCAGCTGCAGATGGAGCAGGCGCTGTCCGGGGACGTGCAGCCCGGGGAGAAGAGGAGGAGGATGGCCTGCACCTGCCCCAACTGCAAGGACGGCGACAAGCGGTGGGTGCTGAGCGTGCTGGCGGTGGGAAGGGCTCGTCCCGCTGGGAGCCACCTCTCCTGGGTTAGACCTGGAGCGGTTCATCCCTCTGGATCTGCCTTTCCTGGAATAACCCAGGGCGGTTCATCCCTCTGGATCTGCCTTTCCTGGAATAACCCAGGGCGGTTCATCCCTCTGGATCTGCCTTTCCTGGAATAACCCAGGGCGGTTCATCCCTCTGGATCTGCCTTTCCTGGAATAACCCAGGGCGGTTCATCCCTCTGGATCTGCCTTTCCTGGAATAACCCAGGGCGGTTCATCCCTCTGGATCTGCCTTTCCTGGAATAACCCAGGGCGGTTCATCCCTCTGGATCTGCCTTTCCTGGAATAACCCAGGGTGTTTCATCCCTCTGGATCTGCCTTTCCTGGAATAACCCAGGGCGGTTCATCCCTCTGGATCTGCCTTTCCTGGAATAACCCAGGGCGGTTCATCCCTCTGGATCTGCCTTTCCTGGAATAACCCAGGGCGGTTCATCCCTCTGGATCTGCCTTTCCTGGAATAACCCAGGGCGGTTCATCCCTCTGGATCTGCCTTTCCTGGAATAACCCAGGGCGGTTCATCCCTCTGGATCTGCCTTTCCTGGAATAACCCGGAGCGGTTCATCCCTCCGGATCCGCCTGTCCCGGGTCTAACCTGGAGTGGTACACCTGTCTGGATCCACCTTTCCCGGAATAATCCGGAGTGGTTCATCCCCCCGGATCCGCCTGTGCCGGGTGTGGCTCATCCCCCAGCTCCACCTGTCCCGGGCTAACCCGGAACAGTTCATCCCTCTGGATCCGCCTCTCCTGGGCTAACCTGGAGCAGATCATCCCTCCGGATCCGCCTTTCCCAGAATAATCTGGAGTGGTTCATCCCTCCGGATCCGCCTATCCCGGGTCTAACCCAGAGCAGCTCATCCCTCCAGCTCCTCCTGTCCCGGGCTAACTCAGAGTGGTTCATCCCTTTGGATCCGACTGTCCCGGGTCTAACCCGAGCGTGTGTCACCCTCCCATCTCCGCCTGTCCGTGCTGATGTCTCCTCTCCCCTCCTGTCCCCTGCTGTCCCCAGGCCGGGCGAGGGCGGCAAGAAGAAGCACATCTGCCACATCCCCGAGTGCGGGCGCACGTTCCGCAAGACGTCGCTGCTGCGGGCGCACGTGCGGCTGCACACGGGCGAGCGGCCCTTCGTGTGCAACTGGGTGTTCTGCGGCAAGCGCTTCACGCGCTCCGACGAGCTGCAGCGGCACGCGCGCACCCACACAGGTCTGCACCGTGCTGGGGGGCTGGGGAGCCGTCCCTCGTGGGGCTGGGGTGTCCCCTGTTCATAGGGCAGCACCCACACAGGTCTGCACCGTGCTGGGGGGCTGGGGAGCCGTCCCTCGTGGGGCTGGGGTGTCCCCTGTTCATAGGGCAGCACCCACACAGGTCTGCACCGTGCTGGGGGGCTGGGGAGCCGTCCCTCGTGGGGCTGGGGTGTCCCCTGTTCATAGGGCAGCACCCACACAGGTCTGCACCGTGCTGGGGGGCTGGGGAGCCGTCCCTCGTGGGGCTGGGGTGTCCCTGCAGGGTCCCTGTGCCCAAGGAACCATCCCTAATGGGGCTGGGGTGTCCCTGCAGGGTCCCCGTGCCCAGGGCAGCACCCCCAAATGGGGCTGGGGGACCCCCAGGTGTCACCATCCCCTTGGGAGCACTGGGATGATCTGCGCAGGTTCTCCCCGGGTTCTGGGGGGCACTGGAGGGTTTCGGGGGGGTCTCTGGTGATAAAGGGATGGGGACATCAAGGGGACATGTCTTAGGGGTGTCACCGCCACCCCGAGAGCCACTGGGGAGCACTGGGATCATCTTGGACCACCTCAAATGATCTTGGGGTTTGAGATACTGGGAGGATTTTGGGGGGTCTCTGGTGACAGAGGTGTCACGGAAAGGGGTGGGGACATCAAGGGGACATGTCCTGGTGGTGTCACCACCCCGAGAGCCACTGGGATGATCTGGGCAGGTCTGGGGGGCTCTGGAGGGTTTAGGGGGGGTCTCTGCTGACAGGGCCATGCCCTGGGTGTGTCCCTGTCCCTGGGGTGACCCGCTGTCCCTGTCCCGCAGGTGACAGGGCCATACCCTGGAGGTGTCCCTGTCCCTGGGGTGTCCCTGTCCCTGGGGTGACCCGCTGTCCCTGTCCCGCAGGTGACAAGCGCTTCGAGTGCGCGCAGTGCCAGAAACGCTTCATGCGCTCCGACCACCTGACCAAGCACTACAAGACGCACCTGGTCACCAAGAACCTGTAGGGTGGGGGCGCCCCCCGCGCCCCAAACCCGCGGCCCCGCAGCCCGGGGCGCCTCAGCACTCCAGGGAGGGACCCGGGGACGTCCCTGCCCAGGGACCGCGCCGAGCACCCCGAAAACGGCCTGCGGGTGCCCCTGGGGGCCCGCGGGGTGTCCCTGCGACCCAGGAAGGTTTAGGGGGTCACCCACAGCCCCTCTGTGACCCAGAGCCTCCCCTGTGAACCCCACAGGTTTAGGGGGTCACCCACAGCCCCTCTGTGACCCCCACAGGCTTGGGGGGTGACCCAGACCCTCCCCTGTGCCCCCACAGGCCGATGGGGTCCCCCAGAGCCTCCCCTGTGACCCAGAGCCCCCCTGTGCCCCCACAGGTTTAGGGGGTGACCCAGAGCCCCCCTGTGCCCCCACAGGCTTGGGGGGTCCCCCAGCCCCTCCGTGTGCCCCCCCAGCCCCAGGGGTGCCCCCATTTGCCCCCGTTTCCCCCCCGGCGCGGGGCAGGAGCCCCCGGGGCGGCTCCAGAGCACATTCCTACTTTATATTTAAAGTCTATAAAGAGCTATAAATACCTGGACCCCCTTGGGGACAGCCCCGTTTTCTATCAGTCGTTGCCTTACGCTCCCCACCCCGAGGATCATGAGTGCTTTTCTAATCTATTTAATCCCCAAACTCCCCTTGTGCCCCCTCACGGCCGATTCCTCTCTCCCAGGTTTTGTTTCCGAGCAACGTTGGCAGTTTCCCCTTTATTTTTTATTTTGTTTGCAATTTTGGGACTCCATCCCCTTTTTTTTCTTTTCTTTTCCTTCCTTTTTTTTTTTTTTATTTTTTCCCTTCCTTAATTTTTATTTTCACCCCTTTTTCCTTCCTTTTTCCCCCCTTTTTCCTTTCTTATTTTTTCCCCTTTTTCCTTCCTTGTTTTTTTATTTTTCCCCCTTTTTTTTTATTTTCACCCCTTTTTCCTTCCTTTTTTCCTCCCCTTTTTCCTTCCTTATTTTTTACCCTTTTTCCTTCCTTATTTTTTATTTTTCCCCTTTTTTTTTATTTTCACCCCTTTTTCCTTCCCTTTCCCCCCCTTTTTCCTTCCTTATTTTTCCCCTTTTTCCTTCCTTATTTTTTGTTTTTCCCTCTTCCCTTCCTTATTTTTTCCCCTTTTCCCTTATTTTTTATTTTTCCCCCCTTTTCTCTTCCTTATTTCTTATTTTCCCCTTTTCCCTTCCTTATTTTTCTTTTTCTCCTTTTCCCTTCCATATTTTTTCTTTTTCCCCTTTTCTCTTCCTTATTTTTCCCCCCTTTTCCGTTTCTTATTTTTTCTTTTTCCCCCCGTTTTTCCTTCATATCTTTTTATTTTTCCTCCATTTTCCCTTCCTTATTTTTTATTTTCACCCCTTTTTCCTCCCTTATTTTTTATTATTTTTCCCCTTTTCCCTCCGTTTTTGTTTCCTTTTCCCCTTTCCCGTGTGTGCCCCCCGTGTACAGTGTACATTGTATCATAGATTTATTGCTTTGGAGCTTTTAAATTAAACTGAAATTCCGTTTATTTTTGTGCTGTGCCCCCCCCGGGAGCTTCCCCTGCTCGATGGAATCCCCGAGGCGCCTCCGGATCCCGGGATTTGGGGGGATTTGGGGGGATTTGGGGCATTTTGGGGCGTTGGTGGGGTTTGGGGAATGGATGGAGTTTGGGGGATTTGTGGAGTTTGGGGGGAATTGGTGGGGTTTGGGGGAATTTATGAAATTTAGGGCAATGGGTGGGGTTTGGGGAATGGGTGGGGTTTGGGGGATTTGGGTGGGATGTGGAGGAATTGATAAGATTTGGGGGTTTGGGGGAATTGTTGGGATTTGGGGGAATTGGTGGTGTTTAGGGAATTGGATGGGATTTGGGGGAATTTTAGCAGGAAATGGTTCAGCTCCTGCTGTGAGCTGCTGGCTCAGGAGTGGGGGATTGTCCCCAAATCCCCGTCCCCACATTCCTGTCCCCACATTCCTGTCCCCACATTCCTGTCCCCAAATCCGCATCCCCAAATCCCCGTCCCAAATCCCTGTCCCTTGTCGCAGCATCCCAAACACGCCATACCCACATCCCTGTGCTCAGTGTCCCCAAATCCCTGTCCCCACCACGTCCCAGCCCCTTGTCACCGCCTCACAAGGCCCCGATGTCCCAAATCCCCAAATTTCTGTCCCCGCTGTCCCCGCTGTCCCCTGGATGTCCCCGCGTCCCCCTCCCGCGGTCATTGCCCCTTTAAGAGCCCCCGCACCTCTCTGTACCCAGCCACTACTTCCGGGTCTTTTATCCCCGCCCCTTTCGCCTCCTCCAATGGGCAGCCAGCTCCTACGGAGGCGCGCAAGTTCTGCCTTCTCCTATTGGCTGCGCTGTAGGAGGCGTGGCCGCCCTTAGCCACGCCTCCAGCGCGGTGGGGGCTCGGCGCGGGCGCGATGGAGCTGGAGCAGCTGCGGAAAAGCTACCGGGGGGACGGCGAGGTGGGACCGGGACAGCGGGGACACCGGGGGACACCGGGGGGCACCGGGGGGGATCTGGCACGGGGGCACCCCGGGATTACCCCCCCAAGGCCCGGAGAAGCCCCTCTCGGGCAGGGTGGCCGCCCACGCGGCCGCTGCCCAGCGTGTCCCCAAGGCTTGGGGACAGCCCCGAGCCAGGGTGACACCCCCAGGATGTCCCCAAGGCTTGGGGACCCTTCCTCAGCCAGGGTGACGCCCCCAGGATGATCCCAAGCCCTGCGGTGTCCCCACCTTCCCCTTGTCACCCCGGTGTCCCCAGGCGTTCGAGGAGCGCCACCCGCTGTCCCCTGACCCCCCGGGTGACCCCTGACCCCCCGGGTGACCCCTGACCCCCCCGGTGTCCCCAGGCGTTCGAGGAGCGCCACCTGGTGTCCCTGGATCCCCTGGAGCAGTTCCGGGCCTGGCTGCAGGACGCGCTGCAGTGCCCGGACATCGCCGAGGCCAACGCCATGTGCCTGGCCACCTGCTCCAGGTGACACTGGGGACACAGGGGACAGGGGGGACAGGGGCCGTGTGCCTGGCCACCTGCTCCAGGTGACAATGGGGACACAGGGGACAGGGGGGACAGGGGCCGTGTGCCTGGCCACCTGCTCCAGGTGACACTGGGGACAGGGGGGACAGCGGCCATGTGCCTGGCCACCTGCTCCAGGTGACACTGGGGACATTGGGGACAGGGGGGACAGGGGCCGTGTGCCTGGCCACCTGCTCCAGGTGACAATGGGGACACAGGGGACAGGGGGGACAGCGGCCGTGTGTCTGGCCACCTGCTCCAGGTGACAATGGGGACACAGGGGACAGGGGGGACAGCGGCCGTGTGTCTGGCCACCTGCTCCAGGTGACACTGGGGACACAGGGGACAGGGGGGACAGCGGCCGTGTGCCTGGCCACCTGCTCCAGGTGACACCAGGGGGACATTGGAGGGGACACTGGGGACAGCGGCCGTGTGCCTGCCACCCGCTCCAGGTGACGCCGGGGACAGGGGGGGAACCCGAGGGATGTGAGACAGGGGGGACACACAGTGGGGACATCGAGGTGATACAGGGGGTGAGACAGGTGACACAGGGGGTGGCACAGGGGGAACACACAGTGGGGACACCGGGGGGACATGGGGGATACACAGGGGGTGAGACGGGGTGACACACAGAGGGTGACCTGGGTGACACTGGGGCGGCACAGGGGGGACATCAGGGTGACACAGGGGCTGACACTGAGGGGACACAGGGGTGACACACAGGGGGGGTGACACGGGTGACACTGAGGGGACACACAGAAGGTGACACTGGGGTGGGACCGGTCACATTGAGGGGACACAGGGGGGGCACAGGTCACACAGGGGTGACACGGGTGACACTGAGGTGACACACAGAAGGTGACACTGAGGTGGGACAGGTCCCATTGAGGTCACACGCAAGGTGACACGGGTGACACTGGGGTGACACGGGTGACACACAAGGTGACACGGGTGACACTGGGGTGACGCGGGTGACACGGCGCTGCCCCGCAGGGACGGGCGGCCCTCGGCGCGCATGGTGCTGCTGAAGGGGCTGGGGCCGGACGGGCTGCGCTTCTTCACCAACTACGAGAGCAGGAAGGGCCGGGAGCTGGTGAGGGACACACGGACACACGGACACACGGACACACGGACATCAATCCTGAGAAATCAACCCAATAAATCAATCCCGATAAATCCTGATAAATCAATCCCAATGAATCCCAAATTCCGGGAGCTGGTGAGGGACACACAGACACACGGACACACGGACATCAATCCTGAGAAATCAACCCAATAAATCAATCCCGATAAATCCTGATAAATCAATCCCGATGAATCCTGAGAAATCCCGAGAAATCCTGATAAATCAATCCCAATGAATCCCAAATTCCGGGAGCTGGTGAGGGACACACGGACACACGGAAATCAATCCTGAGAAATCAATCCCGATAAATCAATCCCGATAAATCCTGATAAATCAATCCTGATGAATCCTGAGAAATCTCGAGAAATCCTGATAAATCAATCCCAATGAATCCCAAATTCCGGGAGCTGGTGAGGGACACACAGACACACGGACACACAGAAATCAATCCTGATAAATCCCAATAAATCAGTCCCGATAAATCCCAAATTCCTGGAGCTGGTGAGGGACAGGGACCCAGAAACACCAGGAATAAATCCTGAGAAATGCCAATAAATCCCGATAAATCCCGATTTAAAAAAATCCTGATAAAGAAATCTCGATAAATCCCGATAAAAAAATCCTGATAAATAAATCTTGATAAATCCCGATAAAAAAATCCTGATAAATAAATCCCAATAAATAAGTCCCAATAAATCCCAATAAATAAATCCCGATAAATCCCAGTAAATCAATCCTGATAAATAAATCCCAATAAGTCCCAATGAATCCCAATAAATAAATCCCAATAAATAAACCCCAATAAACCCCAATAAATCCCCATAAATAAACCCCAATAAATCCCCATAAATAAACCCC